ATGTGTGTGTTATAGTTCCCTGACTTCTTAAATCTGCTTATACCCTGCTCGGGGTTTATATTACGCAGGCTCTGAAAATGTAGAGTGTAGCGAATGTTAAATAGCACCCCCCCTTCCCCTTCTTATCGTATTTACTTTGTGATGCTTGTGAATAATGTTGCTATCTCCATTCCTGTCACTGCATTCTGTTATATCCATTATATGTGGGCAGTGAACTTTTGCTATCAGATGTTCATGACATAAACATAATTACTAGTTATGGACTTTGCTGCGGTATGTAGTCATTGATAATTCTTTTGGTGGAGCAGATACTGTGCATGGAGGAAAATGCTGAATCATTGAGGGAGAGAAGTTTAAGGTTTTACAAAGGATGCCGAAAATACACGTATGTCTACAAATAACTGTTCGACGGAATTTTTTGACTTTGCCAATTGTTGTGTATTCAATTACATTGCTGATGATATAAAATGTAAATTTCATTGGCACCATAAAAGACTTGACCACTTAGTATCTTATGCTTTTTGCACTTCCTATAACTCTCAAATATGCAGAGCATATGAAAATTCGATAATTTAACATACATGTTGTCATGTGGTTTTGGATCTTCCTTATCTTGTTTTTGCTGGATGGAATCAACCTTTGCTAAACATGTTTTGTTTGTCAGGGAATTACTTAAAGTTTTTTTTCTTTTTGTTTTTGCTTGCAGTGAAGGACTTGGGGAAGCATATGATGGGGACATTGCTTTTGCTAGTGCCCTAGAAACTTTTGGCGGGGGGCATAATGATCCAATTAGTGTGGCTTTTGGAGGTATGTCAATTTGTCATCATAAAGAGTATCAAACATTGGTGATTTTCTTTTCTAGTTGCTTCATTGGTGGGTGCATTGGGGTCACCCAAGTGCACCCAATTCTTTTCCATTCGGACCAAATTTGAACTATAATCTTTTATTTGTTATCAGGATTTTGTGTGTTAGCCAAAAGAAAATTAAACAAAAAGGAAAAAAATTCATAGATAGTGCATGTTGTTGAAACGACTATTAGAAGCAGGTATAAGCTGCTTTTGGCATTTATTAATTGGCTCCTGTCTTCTTCTCTAGGCCCTGTTATGACCAAATTTACGATAGCACTGAGAGAAATTGGGACATACAAGGAAGTTCTTCGATCTCAGGTGATAACTTTGTTTTATCTGTTGCTGCAAGCTAAAGGCTTCCTTCTGTTTTTGCAATCACAATATTTTGGCTGCTGTTCCCAGAATATCAATTCAATATGCTGTTTGAGAGATGTTCGTTATTAGTTGAAATGGTTTCTTCTCAATTTAGGCTTGTGAAGAATTCCATTTTGAAGCTTGATATCATTTCCATCTTTTGAAGTTTTTGCTTTACTATGATGAGGCTTTACTTGAGCAAAAGTAACTCTAACTGCATACATGTTATGGCTGACAGAACACATTGTGGCGTATGCAGTCACAGGGAGTTTAATATGCTTTAGATTCCCTAGTCAAATGGCTTTCCATGATCCTTTTTTTGTAGCTCTCTGTGTTCGTTGCCTGTTGGATTAGCAGTTTATTTTATGTCATGCATAATGTCAAGCTATTGTATAACCTGTTTTTCCTCTCCTTTACAGGTTGAGCTTATGCTAAATGACAGACTGTTACAATTTGTGAATATTGATCTGCATGAGGTCAAGGTATTGTGAAAAATTCCTGCATCAGGCGATTTAGGTTTATCTCTTTGTTTTTGTCAGTATCATTTGTGTCTTGTAGTTAGCGTTGAATGGAGTATTGTCTTTGTGCAGGAGGCCCGGAAACGTTTTGACAAGGCTAGCCTTATTTATGACCAGGTGTGTGCTGCAGATCCTAAATTAATTTCCTTCTTTTGTTGAAGGAACTTCCATGCATTTAGTGACTATTTTCTCATGTGTTGAATTTAGAAAATAGAATGATCTGTTCCAGTAAAATATTGCTAGCATTTTTTTTAATAATAAATGCAGGATCTCCTGCAACTGTAGAAAGATTTTTATTTTATTTTTCATGTTCTAATCAAGTCTGAGGTATCTTGAAAGATAGTTCTGTAGGTTAGTTGAAATCTAGTAGAACCACACCAGATTCATTTGTATTTTTTGGGAACTTGTTTGGGAGAGATTTGTTGGTGTAATTTCTTCCTGTATCTTTGATTTGTTAGAGCTTGCCTTTTTCTATATTTTTTTTTTGCAGTTGTATATAACAACCTTGTTTTTCATAATTTAATCTGGGATTTGAATCATTGATAGATCTTGCAGCTAATTTGGGATTAATAAGACTCTTTGAAATTAATTGAGTATGTCATACGTAGTTTGATACTTATGTTACCGCAGGCTCGCGAGAAATTTCTCTCATTGAGAAAAGGCACAAAGAACGATGTAGCTTCCATGCTAGAGGAGGTACTATGCAGTGCAAACTCTAATTATATTTGTTAATATATGTTCTTATCTATGGCATTGAAAATTATCCATTCTTTACATTCTAATACAGCTTAGAGATATTGCAGGAACTTCATAATGCAAGGTCTACGTTTGAGCAAGCTCGTTTTAGTCTGGTAAGTTTCTTGAAGCTGTCCTTTTCGAAATCAATGATTTCATGTAATTGAAACATTGGCGTTATGATTTGGACCTTTTTATTTGCAGGTGACTGCTCTTTCTAATGTTGAAGCAAAAAAGAGGTTTGAATTTCTGGAAGCAGTCAGTGGAACAATGGATGCACATCTTCGTTACTTCAAACAGGTGAATTGGAAGCCAGGTTTTCTGTCCTTTTCACATGCTTTATCACTAGTTTGTTGACCTTAAAGCTTTTTCATGTGTAGGGTTATGAGTTGTTGCATCAAATGGAGCCATATATTAATCAGGTTTGTTATAAATGTGTATGTTAGTGTAATATTTAAGCCAAATCTAAATCATATTTGAGATTCTTATATTCCTAACTTTTCTATTCTGTTTGTAATGAGAATAATTGAAAATTTGACCTCTTATTATTTCATAGGTCTTGACTTATGCTCAACAATCAAGAGAAAGATCCAACTATGAACAGGCAGCTCTTAACGAAAGGATGCAAGAATACAAAAGACAGGTTGATCGGGAGAGTAGGTGGTCTTCCAATGGTTCTAATGGATCTCCTAATGGAGACGGGATACAAGCCATTGGTAGAAGTTCACATAAAATGATAGAGGCCGTTATGCAGTCTGCTGCAAAGGGAAAGGTTTGAAGAAGCTTTTTTTTTTTTTTCCCCAGTTATTGCCTAATTTATTTACGTGATCTATGTTCCACTTCTTTATGCATTTTGATATTGCAGTTGCTTTTGTTTCATGTCTACATTTAATACTACAGACAGAATATAACAGTAATCAATAATCAGGTTCAAACCATTAGGCAAGGTTATCTCTCAAAACGTTCCTCGAACTTGAGGGGTGACTGGAAAAGAAGGTTTTTTGTTCTTGATAGCCGAGGAATGCTTTATTACTATCGAAAACAATGCAGTAAACCATCTGTAAGTAATTTTTACAAGAAAGAA